GCCTCTCCAGGCCCGTGGCCGGCTCCTCATGGAGCCTTGCGGCATCTTGGGCCTGCCCGTGAGTACCTGTGTGCCCAAAGGACACGAATCCCTGGGCACGGGCTCCTGCCACCAGCCCGGGCCGCCATCTCGTGTCCTGGCCACACTGCTGCCAGCAACGCGGTGAGAGGCGTCCCCAGGCCGTGCCCGTCCGCAAACGCAGGGAAGACATTCCCTAAATCCAGCGAGAGCCGGAGCAGGACAGGTGGAAGAGAGAGTTGCCAGCACAAAGTTATGGTTTTTGATAGCATTAAGGAGGGGGATAGCATTAAGGAGGGAATTAACTCTTTTTCCTAGTACTGGCTCTGACACATTGTTTTGCTTCGGGAGAGTCATTTAACTTCATTGCTTCATAAGCTTCTCCATAGATCTGTGTTGCAGATTAAAGAGCTGCTTGTTCACTCTTCTGATCGTCTATATATTTAACGGATGAAGTAGGGATATTAATGACCATGCTCCTCGATGACAGTGCAATAACGGGCCTTGCAAACCCCAGCTGGCCACGGCCGCTCCTGTTTCTAGAATAACAGTCCTGTTAAAGCTGCACCAGAAGTGGGAAAAATTAGTGATGCTGAGCAAACTGAGAGGAAAGGGATGGCAATGGATCAGCTTTGGAGTTACTAATGTGCTGCGTAGGTCTTTTTTTTTATTTTTTTTTATTTTTTTTTCTTATTCAGTGTTGTGCCTTTGGCCAGTACTCAGGGAAAGTCGAGATTTTATCCAACTTTTCAGTCAGCCCTGTGGACGTTTCTGTTCTCCTCACACAAAAGCCAGATTTTGCTCCGTGAATAAATGCTCGCTTTCCTGGTGTGGCCCAGATGCAAGGCCAGTAAGGAACTACCATGTTTTGTGCTTAACAGAAAATCCAGCCTGTGGCCGTAATTCTTAGTGACAGTGCATTTTGGAGCACACTGCAAGTTATTTGTCATGGATTTACAAAATAGCTTCTGCTCGTGATTTTTAATAAAAAACTCTCAGAAATGTTTAACTTCAAAGTTTTCCTTTTCCTGATCATTTCTCTTTTCCTTAGCCCTTTTTTTGCATGTGCTGTTGCTTATGGTGGAGGTCAGTACTTAGGTTTAGGGTTTTTTTGAGTGGGGATTTTTGTTTTTTAAAGATCATTGAGGCATTTGCTCTCCTGGAGATTAGATAATGGCAGGGGATCAAACTAATGGGCCTTGCAAACAGCAGTGTGAAGGTGAAAGGAAAGGAAATGTAGGAAAAAAATGTTAATATTTCCAACCCTGATAAGAATCCTGCTAATATCTTATTGCTCATCCCTTTGCGTAATTATTGCATTCAACCAACTTCAACTTTTCTCTTAAAGAAAGAGACCGAGGGGAAGGAAGAGGCTGAATAACCATCTCAAGGATAGCTGCAAAGATGCTCAGTGAGGAAAATAAGAAGTGACAAGGGCCCGTTTTTAAGTTTCTGTTGGTGTTGTTTTCCCTTTCCTGATTCAGGATCCTACAAATTAAATTAGGGTTTTTTT